TTTATTTTGTGGGCCACAGTCTCCCTCTTTCCCTTCCTCGATCGAAAACTAAATAGTCTGTTGGAGAGCGATGGCCAGCAATTAATTTCTCTTCTGCTGCATTCTTGAAATATTTCCATCTGATCATCTGCTTTTGCATTTAGAACTTAGCGAAACCACCGCCATGGGCCGTGGCTCCATCAATACGTCCTTCCGTTACTCACCATGACTTAATGTTATATTAATCGAAGAAAATTTGGACAAGAGGAACTACCAGTGGTTACGGCTGTTGGAATATGATCGCTCCTCTTCCATTTGTTAAGGAGTCAAATAAAAATAGATTTTTTGTGCTTAACTTATAAATAGACTGGATATAAATAAATATTTAATTGATTCTGTTTGTTAGGTATGACTCATATATCATATAAGAGACAAATGCTGAAACGAAGCAGAAGAATCTGTCTAAATCAGGGGAGTTTCGTTATGTGGGTTGAGGGTGGGGGGGGCAACGCCCCGCGGTACGGTAAATGGGTAATTTTGTAATTACATATTATACTCCAAGGCTATATGTATAGACTCTATTGTAACCTTAAATGATCTGATATTCTATTATGTACTTTTTTCTTAGATTCAAGGAAAGCCGCCGTTCTGCTCCCGAGAACGTAGACTTCTTTGCCAATCCTCCTTAAATCTTTGTGTTCTTCTGAATTTGTGTCGATTTCTATTTTTCTTCGCCCTAATTTTTTCGATTTGTTTGACTCAAACTTATAAATTATGAATAAATAAAATTAATATAGTAATTATATATTAATTTTTTATATTGTATTAAAAAAATATTAATTTTTATTAATTTTTAAATAATTTTAGTTTGGATTGTAAATGGAATATAAATATTTTGTGTTGGATATGTAAATACTAGAATGCGTGCTCTATCATGTCTCCTGCAAACCCTCAATGTAATGTTGAATTTGTAAATACATGAGCATTGCGTTGTAAATATGTAAAATACTAGAAAGAAACATCATTTCCCGCCCCCATTAATCTTACATTTTAAAATTTTCAAAATACACATGACTTAGAAAAATGTTAGAGCCACGGTCGCTCCAGTATTAAACTCTATCACGTATGATGAATAATCTTACATTTCAAAATTCACGTTCACCTAGTGACCGGTGGGGGGCCAGCGGCCGGCGGCTGAGGTAGTTGACTGCGGGCGGTGGGAGCACAAGCGACTATGGTGGGTGACTGCGGCGGTGGTGGACGGCAGGCTAGAATAAAGCTTATTTTGGTGTTTTAAAAATAGGCAAAAGCATATTTTTTTTTTCTAATTTTAACATTTTAAAAACAAACCAAAAAAAATGAAAAAAAGAAAAAAAAAAAAAAAAAAAAAAAAAAACAACAACAAACAAAGGTTATGTTGCACTCATGCGGATGCTGCTGTGAAAAAATTGTGAAATAAAACTAAAATTTAAATTTAAATAAATTATTATTTTAAGATGAATACATATTGAATTTGAGTAAATGTGTTTGAATCGAATTGAATATGATCAAATAATTTAAGAGTTACTTGGAAAGTGAACAAAAAAAAAAAAAAATCGAATGAGCAACAAACCTCATTGATGCATCATCAACAAATTTTACATTTGGCACAAATATTGATACATTTGACACAAATTTGAGATATTTTTTAAATAATAAATATTCTGATTCAAATTTTACATTTGGCATAAATATTTAGATTTTTTTAAGAGTTTTGATTTCAACAAACTTAAAGTCAAACTAACCGACTCGATGAAAAAAACATAATTATAACAAAATTGGTTCAATCTGAGTCAAATAAAGCCCAAATCAAGCATCAAACCACCTTTGGAAGCTTTTCGTGGCTAAATGAAGGGTCAAGTGAATTTAAAACTTGACACACCTATAATTAAATCGAGTGTCTCAACGAGAGGAATCTAATGAGCCTAATATCACATAATTCTGAGGTCACTAAGACTATCAAATTCTCAAAAAAAAAAACTCCTGTGATTCGAGGGTAATCAATGTAGAAAGTTCGATCGGGGTTATAATAATATTCGCCAAAAGACTAAAAGGCTACTCCTCCATGACCCATGACTATACATTCTCTCTTCACTTATAGGGGGAGGAAAGAAAAGAATGAGCTCATTTTTAGTACTGTTCTAGACTGAAGACTAGCGATAACTCCCAACTTCTGTAGCCACCAATCACTGGTCGTTGCTTGCATGCCATTGCCGATCACTGTCAGCTCTCCATGTAGTGAAGTACACTGAATGCAGTGTTGCGAAGAAACTCGAACAAAATGTAACAAAGTATCGCGAACATGACGTTATGAAGTGCTCTGAAGGCAGTGAAACTAAGTACCAAAACATAGTTGAACGACGTACCCTAAATACTGTGTAACAATACATCTTAAATACGATATGATTGTATACCATGAATATGGAGCAACGACACACAATTAATAGGGTGTAATAATGTATTCCAAATATGGCGTAATGAAAAAAGTCATATCAAAGATCCGATGATCACTCCCAGTGTCAATTACTTACAATTGTCATACTACAAAATACAGTGATTTTCTCCAGACTCCTGAAGTATTCTTCTTATATCATATGCTACCAAGTGATATCTTTTTAGTAATAGTAAACCTGGGAAAAAGGCTACACCCACCAACTTGTGAGCACCAACTATAGCCTTTGCAGTCATTTGACACTATTGCAGCTCTCCATTACTACTAATATGAGAATTGTTATTGAAGCTCCCAAACTACTATAATTACAACCTCCATTATAACTTTTGTGACCAACTGACACTATTGTAACTCCCCATTATAGTCTACGCGGCCAACTATTTTCATCACAATCCTCCATTATGGTCTTTGTAGTTTAAATTTGTAGCGACTCACTGCAACCTACATAACTAACTAAAACATACATAGTTCATTGTTATTGCAATTCCCAATTATGATCTTTATGACCAATTAAAATTATTGGAACTCCTCACTATGGCCTAGGTGGCCAACATATGTAGTTCATTGTTATTGCAATTTCCAATTACAGTCTTTATTGCCAATTGACAAAATTACAACTCCCCATTATAGCTTATATGGCCAACCACTATACATTATCACAACCCTCCACTATGATTTTTGTACCTAACTGATGCTCTTGCAGTGGTCCACTACAACTATGCAGCTAGTTAGTAATGTAGCTTCCCACTACGTACATTATTAGTTACGATCCATGTGACTCACTTCTATTGAGCTCCCAATTACGCTCTTTATGACCAATTGAATCTATTGCAGCTCCCCACTATAACCTGTGTGGCCATCTGCTATCATCATAACCCTCCATTATGAACTTTGTTGCTTACTAATGCTATTAAAGCTCCACACTATGGCCTACTTGGCTAACTTCTTTCATCACAACACTCTATTATGGTTTTTATAGCTAGCACAGTCATAACCACTCAACATAGCCTAAGTGGCCGATTATTACTAAAGTTGCCCATAACAGCCTATGCGGCCAACTCTTGCCATTACTGCCTCACACTACGAACTTTGTAACCAACTAGCTCCCCTGAAGCTATAAAGTATGGCCTATGTGGTCAATTATCACAACAAATTTCAACTGCAACGCCAACAACAAGCTAATGTCATTGCCACCATTGTATACAATGGCGGACTACTACCTTCATTGCAATTTGAAATGGGCATTGGGAGTGTTGCCCAGCGGGCAGGCCACATGCCTGCTTCGAATGAGTGAGCTTGGCTATGAAAAAACATAAATTTGGCAGGCTTGACTTAACTCGAGCCTATTTTGACTTAGTCAAAACCCAAAATAGCAAAACTCGATCTCGCCAAATAAAAACCGACCCAAAAATAAATTCCCCAACTCCTAATTTCTTTTAATGACTATAAATCATAAATAATATTTATTATTTTATCAAAATATCTTTCTTCTTTTTCGGCACGAGAAACACAGATTAGTTCAAACTTTTGGCGATCAGCCATGCAAATTACTGTATTCAAATTTGATCTACTCTGAAGATATTGCCGTCCACACGCCTACCAAATAGAAAATTTCAATCTCGTAACTTTTATTTTTTTTAATTTAATATTACTGAATTTGTTTCTTATTTTTATATTACAAAATTACAGTATACTTCTAAAGTTATTTCTCGCATGAAAAAACATAAAATTTCGGGTGCGAGATATTTAAATTGTAGATGCTATGTGTGTAAACACTCCTTGAAGTAATTTATCATCATCAAAGACTATGAAATTTAACCTTATTTATATTAAATTTACCCCCTCGCGATCAATATTTCAAAAAAGAAATTAAAAAAAATAACCAGGAGAAAAATTTGCGTAAGACATATGTGCGCTGCGTACGTACGTCAGGGAGAGTATTTAGAGAGTATTGGGGGATTATATCCGCGTTATACCCCTGTAACCTACAAATATATGAAAACAAAAATGAGAAACTTACTAGAAGGTATATGTATGTTATAAGGAGGTTACAGGGGTATAAGACAGATATAACCTTCCAATAATCTCTGAATAATCTCTCTAACATAGCAGTGTTGCGTATGTAAATTTTTCTCAGAGAGAAAAATAACATCTCTATTTTGAAAAATTATTTCATACGGATACCATATGCAGAGATGCATGTAGTATCTGATCTGTACCATTTATTAGAACAAAAATTTATGACGGTGAACCATATTTAAAATTTTTTTTTACAGTGATGAAATGTGAAAACCACACACCGTGTGGAATAATTTTTCCACGGTTCCTAACGCATTTTTACCTATGCTTTACCAGCCATCGCGGATGGAACCTTCTCCTCTATTATCCTCACCACATCCGCCATAGATGGCCGCAAGCTCGGATTTTGCCCTATGCACAGCGCAGAGATGGCTGCCATTACAGCAACTTCCCCTTCTTCAAAATATCCCCGGAGCCTCCGGTCGACGATCTTCTTCACTTCTCCGTCGGCCGCCTCTCGGAGCATTTTACTTGCCACCGCCGTTAACAGCCGTTCATTCCCCACATCGAAAGCCTCTGCACCGGTGATCAGCACAAGCAGCATCACTCCAAAGCTGTACACATCGCTCTTCTTAGACACCATCCCGGTCCGAATGTAGTGCGGGTCGACATACCCCGGCGATCCAATCATCGCTGCGGGCCGCCGGACGGCTGAGAAACCCATACGCGCGCAGCCAAAGTCACAGAGCTTGGGGTTCAGATCGCCGTCGAGGAGGACGTTGGAGGTGTTGATGTCGCCATGAATGATCTGAATTTCACTGCCCTCGTGGAGGTACTCCAGCGCTTGTGCGATACGGTAAGCGATGGCGGTCCGCCGCGCCCAAGGTAGCACATCGCCGGAGTGGAGTTTCTCTTGTAGATTACCGTTAGGGATGAATTCAAAAATGAGAACGCCTTGCTCATCTGCACGTATGGTGTTAGAAAAAATGCCTGAACCGATCAGCTTATACTTTTTTATGTTCTTTCGTTCACCAATTCCGGCCCCAGCACATACCTCGTTCGTCGCAGTAGCCGAGAAGGCGAACGATGTGGGGATGATGCAGGCGGAGGAGGACGTCAAGCTCCAAGAGGAAAGCTTGGTGGAGGCGTTCGCTGCAGTGATGAAGCTTGATGCTGGCGGGAATGGAGTTTTTGAGACGGCCGAAGTACACTGTGCTGAATCCCCCTTTGCCAATTACATCAGAGTTGAAATTGGCAGTAGCTGATTCTACCTCCTTCCATGTAAAGCGTCGCGGGGACGACGCAAAGATATATTTTTCTGCCGGAGGGGAGTTGTGGGAGTCGGAGTCGGGGCCATTGGCGACTCGAGCGGTGGTGGCGCCAAGTTCGAGGTCTTGCGCACGGATGCAGAGCATTCCTCGTCGGCGCAGAAGCAAGATACAGGCTAGGAATGAGAGGAATGTGACGGCTGTCAGGGCAAGGAGTATGGTGATGAGGAGGTACATTGTTTTTGCTCTCTGAATTCGTCAGCGAGCCTGGAAAGATGGTAGCTTTGGGAAGAAAGACGCCTCTGGAATTTATATAGAGTGTAGCTGCATTCCCAATTTAGATTTAAGAAGTATATATAAGAAATGAACAGAGGATGACATTTATCTTGGTATGTGGATCTAAGGGAGAAGGGGATTTAGGGTTAATTATTAAAATGGTGTAAATGGGAATGGGTTAGGGAAGGAGCGAATCAAAAGTTGACTTGCAGGACTTGTTTAGGGTGAGTAAATCGGGAACGTGGGTTTTGTCTTCAGCTTTCACTTTTTTTCTGGCGAATTGGGTATCCGAGATCTGCTTTAGAAAAAGACATTAAAAAAAGACCAATGCTACGCTGTAAAAATAGATTAAAAAGGTTATTTTATTCTATGTTTTTCGGTTCTTTATCCGATTAAATTCTCTTGTCATGTACGAAAAATGAAACAAATATAAGAAGATATATATGCATTCTTGTACGACGCCTGAGAGTCGATATTTTATAGTTGGTATATGTGGTTTTATGATGCATCATATGTAATGAAGTTATTTTATAAGTTTTATATTTTATGAAATTTATGATAATGATATTGAGGTAAAAATGAATGTATGAGGGAAATAATAATAATCATAATTTATGAGGGAAATAATAATAATCATAATTGATAAGTCATTAATAAATTTTTATTGTCCGGCATGAATTTTGAGGTAGGATATAAATCTCAGGAAAATCTTTTGAGCAAGAAATATTCGAACTTCAGTTAAGAGTCATCCACAACTCTGATTTCAGGAAATTTATAGTCAAATTAACTGGCTCGATGAGACAGACCCGATGATATCAAAATTAGTTCAATCCGAGTCAAATCAAGCTCAAATCAAACCATTAATCCACTCTTAGAAGATTTACAGACATATTTAGAAGTTCGACCGAATGCAGAATCTAGCAAACCTATGATAAAATCGAGCGTCTCGACAAGACGAATCCAACGAGCACAAGATTGCCCAATTCCAACATCATTAAGACACTCAAATTTTCATAAAATGATGTATGAAAATTGAAATCTCTTTGGATCGTTTGATCAATGTGGTTCATATTTCGGCCTTAATTACACCCATTTGTGATCGACCGACGTTGATCACTGCTGACCACCATCGAACACCATCAATCTCCAACGACCGCTACCTGCCGACCTCCATCAATCTCCAACGACCGCTACCCACTTCTTACAATAAGTTCATTTGTGCACCGGCATTGTAACTCCGAATAGAATTCATCCCTTTTATGCCTGTGGGACGAGGAACTGTACATGTAATATCCAGTTTATAGTTGATTTCTTTAGCTGGCTAGGTTCCTAGGTTTTTCCCTTTTCGAGGTTTTCCACGTAAGAACTTTTGGCGTCACTACTGATTATTTTCTTTTATTTGAGTGTGCGTTGAAATATCGCGCAACGCTAATACGATAATCAATTACTCTATCGCCACGAATTTTCTAGCACACGTCAATAATATATATAATGCGTGCTAGAAGATTCATAACAGTAGAGAAATGAATTACCGTTTTAGCGTTGTGCGAGAATTCATCACACACACAGATGAAAGAAAAATAACTAATAGAAACACAAAAGTTTTTAAGTGGAAAACGCAGAAAGAGAAAAAACCAGAGGGTCTGAAGAGATTCACTATAAACTGGAGATTATAAGTGTCGTCTCTTGTTCCGCGGGCGGGAAATAGTTACACAATCTTTCGAGCTACAGTGTCGTTGCGTGGATGAACTTGTTGTAAGAACTGAGCAACGACCGATTTTGATAGGTGACAATCGATAAGCGATGGTCTGCGATTGGTGGTTAGTGGCTATCGACAACGAGGCGCTGTTGGATTCAACTCCTCCTCCGAGCTTCAAGCTCTCTTCTCAGGCTCCATGCTCTCCTCCTAAGATTCAAGCTCTCCTTTAAGCTTCAAGCTTTTCCTTATGCCTCAAGCTTCCTCTCATCCCTTCATGAGAGGGTTAAAACTCTATTTATAGAGTTCCAGTTATAATTAATGAAGGAATAGTGACCACTTTGATTGGATGACCCAAATAGCTTTCCTCAATCAGATTTAGTGGGCATTTGAGGGTCTTAGCAATGTCATAATTGAGCGATCTTAGGATTGTTGGATTTGTCTAGTCGAGACGCTCTATTCAAAAAAAAGCTCACCAGATTCAACATCTGTTTCACCTTCCAAATATCCCGGGAATTTTTTAGAAGTGGTTTAATGATTTGATATGCGATTGATTTGCCTTGGATTGGTTGTATTTTAGTGTCGTTGGGTTTGTCTCGTTTAACCAGTTAGTTTGGCTGTAAATTTGTTGAAATCAGAGCTTTGGATGAATTTTAACTATAGTTTGAATGTTCTTTGCTCAAAGTAAATTTGCATTTTGGGAACGAAAATTAAACTTAATTTTGAAGGATGTAGTGAAAACTCTTATGTCATATGAAATATTTTCTTCTAAGAACATATTTTGAGGTGTGCAGTTAATCGCGTATGAGGTTTGCAGAGACGAGAATACTTAGCTCAATGATTGACTTTCCACTCGAAAAATAAAATGCAAAAGAATTAAACTCTTGCAATGGTTGGTGTAGTTTTGGTGACATACAATATTATATCAAAAAATTCAAAAAAATATAAGACTGATTATCGATCACCCATTGTTGTAACTCTGCGTTTATGTGAACTTCTAAAATTAAATTTTGTGGTCCCAATTTGAATGCATTTTATAATGTGTTGATTGTTTTCTAGGTACATATGGATATTTGTGCATCAAAATCATGGATGTACGATAAACTTTTATCAGATAGAAAATGGATCACCGATAAGTTTTTGAACAATGTAGAGGCCTTTATGGCTGCAGCATCGCAACTTCCATCTTACCTATTTAAGGTTTGATTTCGATGTTCATGCTCATAACATAGGCACATTTAACGCCAGACAAAGTAAGATATGATTTATATCATTGGGGTTTTCACCCTGATTACTGAATTTAAACTTCACATGGGGAGGTAGAACCTGCAACATTCAACTTAGTTTCTTTGGCGAGTTATGATCCTCCACTTAGTTTTCACTCAAGTAGGTTTGAAGAGATGTTCTTTGACAGGACAACACTGCATTATCCTAGTCAAGTATCGAAAAAGAATCCAAATCAGAAGGCTCAATCTTCTTATGATTTATTGAATGCCACTCAAAAACCAATGTTGGAAGTATACACTTTTCATTCTGAGTTATCTGTAGCCCATATAATGCTAAAAATTAAAACATAGTTTAATATTCCCAAAGAGTGCTTCAATCAGTTTTCAATGTAGCTGAAAGAGACTAATCCACAATAGAATTTAGTTCCAGAAGATTTATATCAGATTAACAAATTGGTTTCCACATTAGGGTTAAAAATAAACAAGATTGATTGTTGTGTGAATGATTACATGTTAATTCACCTGTACTTCTTCGAGATTTAAACCTCAAAATAAAACAAAGGGTCAGAAACAAGTTCCTTTCCGACCTCTCTTCTATCTACCACTAATTCCACATCTTTAGAGTCCATAAGATTCCTCGCGTACTGCTCCGCATATGTCGTGGCAGCATAGCGAGTCAGGGGATATCAATTCAATGCGTCATCTTGTAGATGAAGAGGAATGTAGAAGTTTTGATCGTTTTAATTCCCAATTTGTTGTAGAAACACATAATGTGAGACTTGGTTTATCCTTTGATGACTTCTCACCATACAGTCAGGCTACGACACCCTGCTCTTATTGTTCAATGATCATTACGCCATATAATCCTTTGATGACTTCATGGTTTGACTGTCACTGTATGTTTTTTTTATTCTGGGCATCCCTTCAGGAGGAACAACAGTGCATTCAAAAGGGACAAAATTGAAAAATCAACGTCACCTTCAGTAGTATCTGAGGAAGATTTATTTCAGATTGTTAGTTACATTCCGAAGATTACTGTTTATCCTGACTTATCTTCTCATCATCCATCAGGCTTTTTTGTAATTCATAACTAATCAACAAATTTTATTTTTTGGTATCTGTCTTACAGGAAAGATAACATGATCAGGCACAATCTCGATGTGATGCACAAAGAGAATTTTTTTTGACAATTTTTTAAACATTGTGATGAATGTTAAGGGAAAAATTAAAGATAACTTGAATGTCAAATTAGATTTGAAAACAATTTTCAGAAAGCGAGATATAGAGATTCAGGAAAGTGTTAATGACAAGCTTTTGTACTTCAAAGTAAAATATTCTTTTACTTTGGCACAAAAGATCAATTTGTGTGTGACTCCAGACATTGAAATTCCCGAGCATATATGCTTCAAATTTGAGTCGTTACATTGATGTGCAGATGGGAAAGATATTTGGAAAGAAAAGCCACGATCGTCTTATTTTTCTTCAAAGTTTATTGCCAACCGCATTTAGCTGCTTGCGAAGTGATATTTTAAATCTACTGATTGAAATTAGTTTGTTCTGCAAGCAGATGTGTGTAGCTTGTTTGAATGTTGTTGACATATGATAGTTAGAAGCAAACAGACCAATAATATTATGCAAGCTCGAAAGAATATTCCCACCTAGCTATTTCGAATCCATGAAGCTTTTGCCGGTACAACTACCACACTAAATCTTACTTGAAGGACCAGTTTAGTATTGATAGATGTATCCATTTGAAAGGTACATTTTTTGAATAAAATTTCTAGGAACTACTTTGCAAATAAAATTGAAAAGTAATTAAATTACAGATTATTAAATAAACTGAAACGAACTTTCAAGAAAAAAAACATGACGAGAAAGATCCATATGTGAGGCATATTTACTACATAAGATCACCACTTTTTGCTCCTATCATTTCATGTAAGAAGAGTCCAAGTCATTTTGTGTAGTGCCTCCCACGACACTTTCTGTTTTTCAGCAGTTTGGTGAAGTATTTGGGAGGTGCACATCGCATTATCTCAGTAATCAAAAACTTCTAGCAAATACACTTTATGTTCTTATAAATTGCGACGAAGTTCGACCTTTTATCGAGTAAAACACTAAATTATATTAATATTTCTTTCTTCTAGGTGAAAAAATTATGATGGTCAATCCATAATTTTTTTCATTGTAGTAACAATTTATTCTTAGATTCGTTGTAATTAGTTGAAGGTGATATCACAAACCAAGAGATAGAAAATAATTTCCCTAGATGGTTCACAACATATGTAAGTTAGTGTTTAACAAAACTACTTAACATCTAAGATAATTGTTATTAGATATCTTTAAAGGTAAATGAGTTATTTATGAATTATTAGATTCATAACCTAAAAATTAGAGTAATAGAT